AATGTTCTCCGGCCACGATGAGCACCTGGTTCATTCTGCAAGAGAGGCAGGTGGTTTGGGGTGTGGGGCCAGAGGAGGGCAGGGGCCAGGGGGGAGGGGGGAGGCAGCCAGACCAGCAAGAAGCTTTTAAAATGTTGGAGAGTGAACTCTGTGGCTTTGTGAATTAACCTGCTCTTCGTCTGGCGTTTCTCAGTCTTGGACTTTCATTCCCAGAATTCCCCAGGCGGCCAAACTCTCTTATGAAACTCTCACTGAGCAACAGACATGTTGGGCTCAATTGTGTTCATAAGTCGAGGACCATCTGTACAACGTCTGGGATGCCTCCTCCTCCTCACCTGGCCTTGCAGTGGGCAGCGGTCAAGACCCAGCTGCGGCTGACCAGGGCTCCCCCGCAGAAATGGAAGCCGCTCTTCCTCCTCTTCAGAGACACCAAGTACTTGGAGGAGTGGGGGGCCGTAATGTAGCCCCCGATGATGCGGAGGGAGTCCGTCTCTCGGTCTGCAGGGAGAGGGAGAGGGTCAACAGTCCAGAACTGTCCGTCTCTAAGGCGATGGACAGATGTTGCAGGCCCCATGATTCCCAGCCCTGGAGGAGTTCACAATCCCTCCCTGATCCCCGAGCCCATCTCCCCAATTAATGCCATTCCTGCAATGTGGACTATTCCCTTGATCCAGTCCATTTCTGGCGCCTCCGGCCTGCAGATTTGAATCTTGTGGACCAATTCACTCCACCATCTTCCATTTACAGAAATGCATTTAAAAATATTTTCTATCTACTCTGAAGGGAAAGTTCAGCTGTTTTTTTAGAGGCAACATTTACACATTTTTATGTGCTGGGCATTTTATTGTGGAAATCTTCCTGCTGAGATTTATGCTACCGTAGCCTGTTCAGGTTAAAATGGAATGTGCTTTTATTTTGGGCGTTTTTAATGCACTGGTCACTTCTGCTGCTCTCTGACCCTTTGCCCTGGAGGTCCACACACACACACACACACACGTCTCTTTGTTCATTGAGAGTTGTTCTTCCCCAATGTTTCTATCTGTCTTGACAACTTTGCCCTTTAATTACCAGCTCCCTTCCAGCACGTCCTGGGCTTAATCACAGTCTTCTCACAAACAACGGAGCCATTGTCTGCAGTTACATCTCGCTCCCTGCCACGATGTTGCTTTTATTATTGATTCCCTCTTGGTCTTTTTCCTGGGTGAGTGGGAGGTTCAGAAATTAAGTGAAAGCCCCCTGGAGGGCTATTCTTCATTAAATAATTTATCATTTACCTGTTTGTCATTAATTATCCCATTTTTATTAAAATGAAGCATTGAACTAGAAATACACTTCTGAGCGAGTGCAGTCTATGGAAGGATTTCGGGTAGCAAATGAGGATGGGTAGATTTTTCTTTTTCTTCTTCTCTCCCACCCCCAACTTCAAACCACTCAGGGCAGAAAGCCAGCATTACATCTAAAATGGGTTTCCCCATTGATTCCATTTGGGGGAGGGTGGGGTGTCCCATCTGGTGGGGACCCAAAGGAAAACTGAAGGAAAATGGGCTTTTTCTTAATTGAGATGGGCAGGCAACATTTGTGGTCAAAATGTGGAAACGCTCCCCTTTTTTTTTTTGTAATTCATGATTCAGGCCGGTCAACCGTTGGCTCAAGTCTGAAGATGCCGGTGGATATTCATACCTGGCCATTCCTGTCCGCCTCCATCAGCAGCAGAAGGGGGTCCTGTGTGGGCATCTGCCCCCAAATCCTCTTCCGCTGCCCCGGTTTCTGAGCCCAACCATGGAGCTGCTGTAAGGAAAGGTACGTCTGAAGCCCTTGGCTCTTCCCTGCCTTTTAAAGAGGGTTACATACAGATGGACAGAACCCACAATGTCCCTCGCTCCCTCCGCCCTCCGCCTGTCTCTCTCTGCACCGACTTCTGTTCTGAAGAAGTGAGAAGTTCCCCAAAGGAAATTCAGAATGAGAAAGGCTGCTAACTCCAGAGATTCTCTTGATTTCTGCATTTGGAAGAGGGTTGGAAGTGGAGAGCTCTGGAAACGGGGGAGCAGGGCAGGAGGGTCAGGGTGGGGGCCTAGAGGCTGCCCTCTTCGTCTTCCTCTCGTCCCGCCTCTTAAGGATTTCGGGAACAGGGAACGGTTCCTCCCAGACCCAGGGACTTCTTCAGAGGGGCAACTGGCATTCGGGCAGGTCCACAGGGAAGTTCTGGCCTACAGGTGATGTGCTGTACCCATTCCTGCCCTGCCCCCCCCTCCCCCAGGGTTTGAAGGGGGGGGGGCCCACCCCCAAAAAAAAAAGGGCGCCCCCCCCCCCCCCCCGCTCAGCCCCCAGAGGCACAAATCTTGCATCAGAGTGGATCCCAATTAGACAGACTTAGCCAAATGTCAGAGGGGTCCGGAATTCCTCTGGGGAGAATCAGACCCTAGGCGTCTGTAAGCCCGTCTGGGACAAACCACTCACCGGTCAGCAAGGAGAACAGGAGGGAAAGCAGAAGTCCTGGACTGCGAGGCCTCATCCCACTTTCCTTCTGAAAGCATCTGATGCCCCAAACCGTCCTCCTCTTCTCCGTCCTGGCTCTTCCTTCCGTTGCCATAGCAACCCCCATCCCAGGAGCACTGTCAATGGTCCACTGTCTTCGGGGTCCTTCAGGGCACCAGCACCTGCCTGGCATCTTCCTTCTGACCTTCTCAGCTTCCTTCCTGGGCTGGGCCCTCTGTTCAGGCCCAGGCTCCGGTTTCTCGGCAGGCTTGGTGGCTCCATGACCTCCCGGAGGCCCCAGTATCCCTGCTTGGCACGGAGAAGGGAGCAGGCAGCAGAGCCAACGGCACCCAGTGGCCTGAGAAGGGATGGGCCCCGATGAGAAAGCCTCCAAAAGGCTCCCTTTGCCCCAGCAGGAGGTGGGAGGAAACGCTCCCGATGGGCTCTCCTGGGTCGCTCTGAAGGCCCTTCCAGGCAATGCCCACCCAGGCGGTTCTCTGGCGGTCGGGGAGCCAAGCACGAATAATTCACGGGACGCCTGCCATCTGAAATGGGTGACGGGGGGTCTTGTGTTTTGCGGTAAGACTTCGAGCTGGGCTCTTCACCGGCAGCTCCAGGCAGCCTGTTCACATCCTTCGCTCGGCTACTTTTCCTCCCTACCCGAAGAACCCTGTGAGGGAGGCCAGGCCGAAGGTACCCTGGAAGCCAGTCAGGGCTTTCTCACCACCGCCCCTCCAGGCAGCCGAGGTTCCTGTTCTGACTTCATTTGGAAAAAGGCTCACAGCCTTGCGTAAAGCGTTGGGCGATGGCTGGCTCAGAAAAGAGGTCTCAGCTAAACAAACCCAGTCGGTTTAGGTCAAGAAAGAGGGAAGAGAAGGAAGGAGAGCCCTCGGAAGGGGCCCTTTGTGTCTAAGAAAGAGGGGTCTGTTTTGTGGCTTCGCCTCCTCTCCAGAGGACAACAATCAGGTCACAGCTAATCCCACTTGCCAAGAGCTCTCCTTAAAAGCGTTTTCCCCCCCCCCCCCCCCCCGCAACGCATTGCCTCAGAGCCCCCCAGCACGCCCTCCCGTGGCCCCTCTGCACCCCACAGCTCCTGTTCCAGGTGCCTCTCCGAGGATGTTCAAAGCCAAGTCCCTGCTTAGGGACCGCAACCTTTGAAACAAAGCCAGAAGCGCTGCAATTGGCCATCACAGGACCATGGGGGAGGGGTGTGTGGGTGGGGGTGTGCAGGGACTGTTCCGTGGAGTCGTGCAAAGCCCCTCCAAGGTTGGCAGCCTCCCCCGGTTCCTGCTGCCCGGGGCTTTTGCTGGTGTGAGGCAAGCAGGGAGGGGAAGGAAGTCCCAGCCTCCTTGCTCAGAAAGGACGACAGGCAGCCGCGGAGGGCTGACCGAGGAGCCAGCGGCAGCCTCTTCTGAGAAGGGAAGCAAGACTGCGGCCGGCCTCGGTGCTCCCGGAGTGCACCCCCAGGCTGCCCAGGGAGGAGGAGGGGCCCCTCGGATCTCAGCCTGGGAAAACAGGTGTGTGCTGTGGATGTGGACGGAGGAAGGCATCCCCGAGGCTTTCAGAGAAGAAAGGGGGCCGAGGAAGGGGGCCTGGGCTCAGTCCTCAAGGATTCCAAGGGGGGCATTTCCGGCCCTGCTGGGCACGTTAGGCTGGTGAACCCAGTCCTTCTGAAGGGCCACTCCCTCCATTGCTCTTCCCTTCCGCCTGACAGTTGGGGATATCTCACCATACTAGTCCTCAGTAAGTTCTGGGCCCGGGCCATCAGCCTCTCCCGGCTGGGAGAAGTGAAATAGAGCAGGCTGCAGAGACTGTGGAGGAAAGCAAAGACGGAGAAGCGGAGCAGAGGTCAGCTTGACCAAATTAAATTTCCCTTTGTTTTTGGACAAGCATCTCTGCGGCCGCCTCCCTTTCACTTTCTGCCAAGTTTTGCAGGAAGAGTTTTCAGGAGCAGTTAAACAGTTACTTGTTCCAGTTCTGGAACCTGTTGAACAGTAACTAGGGAGGAGATCGCCGGTTCGCCCTTTGGCCCATAGAGAAATGGGAGGGGAGCCGAATGGGGCCCCTCTGGTAGCCCTTGGCCAGGCCAACCGGGACTGTGCCCACCACAGCCCTGGGCTCCTTTAAGCCGAAGAACCGTTGAGCACGCGTGTCCTGAACGAATCCAGGAGAAATCCTGTGTGTGGGGAGGGAGGGGGGTGTTTGGGGTTTCCAGCGGAGGGATACAGAAAAACTTCCGGAAGGCAAGGCGGCCTCCTGCAGGGACTGAGGGCCACGGCCTCCTTTGTGGGGTGGGTGTCGGATGCCTCCAGGTCCAGCCAAGAGTGAGCTAGGAATGTCTTCTCGGAGCTAGAGAAATGGTGACCTGGAACTTCGTCTTTATTATTATTAGCAGGCCAAAAGGCTAATATCACCTTTCCTGAAATGCTAATGGGGAAGCCTGGAATTTCAGATTACAACTTCACTGTTTGCTAGATTGCTGAACTATTTATATATGTATTAACCCAGAGAACAGCAAATTTGCCCTAGAAATATTCTAAATCGAGGAGCTGCTGGCTCCTCCAGCTTTCCACCAGAATCTTCCAAGCAGAGCAGAGCCGGGCCTGGCCTTCTCCTGCCCAGCCGGCCCCTTCCCAGCCAGGAGGATGTGGAGCCAGCCTGGCGCTTCTCCTCTCCAGCCTCCCCGGAAGTAGTCTGGGTAGAGAGACAGGCTGTGCGGGAGATCAGGGCAGCTGGGTGCTCCCGGCTGGTTGCCCTGACCGACTCTGCTGGCCGGAGCTGCCTTCTCCCCGCTCACCTCCCTGGTGCTGGGATTTCCACGCTCCACCCGCCGGCTGGGCATGTGACTCACCTTGCGGGGAATCCCTAGGGAGGTTTCCCGGCTCAACCATTCCACCGGAGAAGGACGCCGTCTCTCGCCACGGCTGAGCAGCCACCTGGCTACTTGAGGCAGGGAGAGGAATTCCCCCCCCTCCCCCGCCTGCTTCCATCCTCCTCCAGCAGCCAGAATTGAGGCTGGGGGCTGAGAAGACCCAGGAGGTTGACCGGGGTGGGGGGGGGGGGGGGGGGGCGGGGGGGGGGGGGGGACGACACACGCAGGGAGCAGCCAGCCTCCCTCCAGAGAGGTTCCCACTCAAAGCTTGAAACTTTGTGGGTGGCCAAAGGGAGGAGGAGGAGGAGGAGGAGGCTCCCTGCTGGCAGGCGAAGGTTGGCCCTTTCCAGGGGAAGGATCCCTGCCCTCTCCGATGCTGCTCACCGCCCTTGTCTCCTTTCCTTCCCCTGGTGCCAGTCAAGGTTAGGGAGAGCTCCGGGCCATGGCACACGAGCAGCGAGGCAGCCCCGCGGCTGGCCTCGAGCTGGAGACGGTTCAGCGCCTTGTGGCCGCCTGTCAAAAAGCCAAGAGTTTCGCCTACTGCCCCTACAGCAAATACCCAGTGGGAGCAGCCCTCCTGACCTCCGAGGGGAAGATCTTCACAGGTAAGGAAGCCCCTTGGCCCACCTGGCCTGCCTGGACCCTCCCCTCCTGGCCCAGAGTAGCAGGGTGGTGGCAGTCAAGCTGACCCCCCCCAAAAAAAACCTCTGGGTTCCCCATCATTTGCCCCAACGGCAGAGGCTGGCTCCTCTCTTTATGCCCAAGGTGCCTGGGGGACCCAGGGTGGCATCAGGGAAGACCCCCTGGCTGGCAAGGGATGCTGGGAGAGGTGGCTTAGCTACGCCTGGAAGGCTGCAGGTCAAGGGGGGTTTCTCACCCTGAGCAGCTTGCAGGTGGATGGACTTCGACTCCCAGGAGTCCCCAGCCAGCAGAGCTGCCGCCTGAACCCAGGACCCGGCTTCAAGCACCCTTGATCATGCTTCTTGCCTCTTCCAGGTTGCAATGTTGAAAATGCCTGTTATCCGCTGGGCATCTGTGCCGAGCGAACGGCCATCCAGAAGGCCGTGTCCGAAGGTCACACAAAATTTCGAGCCATGGCCATCAGTTGGTAGGTGGGACTCGGCCTTCTCTTCCCCCCTCGCCCCCCAGGAAAGATTTCGTTGGGCATAGAAGCAGGAGATGTTTTCAGCTAGGCTGAAACTGAATATCCAGATGGGAAAGGCTGGAGATTGTGGATAGGCAGGGCTAGACCTGCCTTTCAGGAAGGAAAAAAAGGCTGTGAATCATCTGTTGCTCAAGAGGAAAAGGTCAAAAAGTTCTGATTTTTGAAATAAAAGGCACCCATTAGTCACCCCAGGCATTTGTCAGCTGCTAAGCCTTTTTTTTATATCACAGTTTGAAAGCGGTAAACCTAACAAGCTGTGAAATCACACAGAAGCAAGGCCTCTCTGTGGGCGCCATAAATTGCATCCATTCTTGGCAATACACAGAGCAAAAATGACCCCCATCTTGGCGCGGCGTAGATTTAAAAGCCACACTAATAATGTCCACTTCTTTTTGGAAGCAATTGGAGCGGAAGGCCTTCTTCATGGGCTGAGCAGGGCTGAGTCCCTGGACGGCTCAGGGCATCTCTTGGGGGGGGGGGCAGTGGGGGCTCAGAGGGTCCTGCAAACTCCGGTCATTTGGTTTGCTGCAGATTTGGCGCATTTTCCAAGCAAAAACCGGATTAGTTCAGCAAAGAGGGTAAATGTGCCAACGCAAGCCTAATCTCACGTAGGTTTGGATGTCTTACCTTCCAAAATTCAGCGAGATAATTTTATGTTTCCCCCTTTTTTCTTTAACAGCAACAGCCAAGAGTCTTACGCCATTCCCTGTGGAGGGTGCAGACAAGTCCTCCGAGAGGTAAAACGCTTTGCCTGCCTTCCTCCTAAAAAAGAAAAAAAAAAAAACAAATTGCTTTTTGACCCGTGTTTCTTTCATCCAGACACGCAAGCGTTTATAGATGCCTGTGAAGTTTTCTCCGTTGTATTCTGTCCGTCCCATTTGGCAACTCCATTGCAGCCAATTCTTTAGTGACCGTTCAGATTTACGACCGCACTGAACACATTCCCCCCCCCCCCCCCAAAAAATTAGACCTTGCCCAAAAAGGCTGGGTGCTTCTCCCTGCCTGCGTGTCCCTGTCTTGGAGTGATAAAACTTTTATGACGGCCTGTGTGCTTTCCACAGACATCCGTGAAAAAACGCGGATCCTTGCTTGAAAAAAAGGGGAAGGACTTTTGCAAAGAGAGAGAAAGACTCACCGCTTTCAAACTGTGGCCGGAAGGCTTAGTGGCTGACCAAGGACCGGGGTTTCTATTCCCCAAAACAGGCATCTTCCACCCTTTCCTCTTGCGCAACCGGTGGTTCGTTTTTGAGGCAGGCCTGCAGCCAGGAGGCGTCCAGAGGTGGGGAATCCGCTTCCCTCCTCCTGAGCACAGCCGTCTGTCCTCATTTCGCCCGGGTGTAACACCGTTCTGGATATTTCCTGCTCCCGAGTGCGGTTGTGGTTGTGGCAGAGCAGCTGGCGTTGAGAATGGGGGAGGCGGGGAGGCTGGCTGTTTGGCCTGAGCCGCTCTTTCACTGCTGGGCCTCTGGAATTTGGGCACAAACCACAGGGAGACCTCAGGTTACAGTGGCCATTTGGGGTTGCAGCAGCACTGAAAAAAGCGAGCCTTTCACACTTAGCGACCGCTGTGGCATCCCCGTGGTCATTTGACCCAAATTTGGGCGCTTGGCAGCTGGTCCGTATTTACGGCGGTCGCAGCATCCTGAGGTCCTGAGATCACCCTTTTTGCGAACGCCTTGATGCCAGAGGGGAAGCCAGCCTCACTCAACAACCGTGTTACTAACTTAACTGCAGTGATTCGCTCAACGACTGTGGCAAGGAAGGGCATAAATGGGGGCAAAGACTTAGCAATGGGAATTTTAGGCTCAATCGTGGTTGTAAGTCGAGGACCATCTAAGATTTGTGGATTTTCCTCCCCCCCTCCCCTAGTTTGGTCAAGAGTGGGAGATCTATTTGACCAGGATGGACGGAACGTACATCCGGAAGACCCTGGAGGACCTCCTGCCTTTGTCCTTTGGCCCGGAACACCTGAAGCGCTAGAGGGGAAGGGGGGCACTTCAGGGCGGCTTCCCTCCTTCCCCAGGCCTCCCGCGGCCTCCGGAGTTCAGGAACGTCTTGGCAGCCTTGGCCTTCCAACCTGTTGAGTCCATGGATGTCAAAGGGGAGGCGATGACAACATTCGGATATCGGCATTCCCGGCGGGGGCTGCGTCATCGGGATCGTTGGCATCAGTTCAAGGGTCTCCAGAACTTTTGACCGTGTCCTGCCCAGCTGCCTCAGAGGGTGAAGCCCCCACCTTACCCAAGATAAAGAGCTGCCTTTTGAGTCCATCGGCTCCGTATTCTTTGCACTCGTCGTCTCCAGAGGGTACCCTCGGCCCCTCCCTCTGAGGAAAGCCCCCCACCCAATCCTGATACGTAGGTTTATTCAGGAGGTGCGTTTGAAGGAGTCTTGGCCCATTGCTAGGACCAAAGCGAGAACAACCGGTCAGTGGAAGGGCTTCCCTCCAGGGGTTGTGGGTGCTCCGACACTGGAGGCCTTCAAGAAGAGGCTGGACAGCCACTTGTCTGGAATGATATATGCCGGTCCCCTTCTTGGGCTGGGGGTAGGACTAGAAGACCTCCAAGGTCCCTTCCAACTCTGAAAGTCCCTGAGGTTTTGCAGGAAGTTTCTTCAGAAAGGTCTGCCTGAATCTCTTTCAAACTCAGGCTGATAGTGTGGGATTGCCTCCAAGACCTCTGGCTGGCTTTGTGTGCAAGGCAGGATCAGAACTCAGGACATTTTATATAAGAGGAACAGTTGGTGGTTCTTTCAACAACTGGGGGCTCTCTCCAGCAATCCAAGAGAACTTCTGGCTGGTCCTTGGTAAGGAACTTGTTCTCCAGTTAATTGCCACGTCGCACTAAAGTGCCAGTTGTTTTGGCACCCCAATGTGCGTGTGTGTGAGCGCGCGCATGCACACCTTTCACCACACACCAAATGAAGTGGGTCCTGCACTCAGTAACATGGAATGGGGTGTGTGTGTGTGTGTGTGTGTGTGTGTGTGTGTGTGTGTGTGTGTGTCTGATTTTCCCCAGGAGCCACACTTTTCCAGTCCCAGGGGTTCTTTCCCAGTGATTGGAAGGAATGGGAGGCTCCAGATTTTTTTTCAGTTATTAAAATACTTATTAGTTGCCATGCCATTCTGGGTGTCAGGTGTCTCAAAGAGAGAGGGAGGTTTTAAAACGGGGCTTTCCAAACTCGGCCATTTAAGACGCAAGGACCTCAACTCCCAGAATTCCCCAGCCAGCCGTAAAGTGCCCGAGTTTGGAGACCCCCGTTTTAAGAGTTCACATCGAAGTTTTATCAGCTGGCTGGGGAATTCTGGGAGTTGAGGTCCACCTTTCCTAACCTCACCGAGGCTGAGAAACACCGATTCCCGCCGTCTTCCCAGAACCAAATCCGCCCCCTGGAGAAAGCAGGCTCCGAGTTTTATCGCCCCCCAAATAACAACGGCTCTCTTTCCCCAAAGAGCAAATCACTGGACAGGCTTTCAAGCACATGAGGACTCCAACTCCCAGCATCCCTCTGGGGCCACGCATGCGCGCTGCGTGTGGAACGCTGGCCGGTGAAGTCCGCTTGGCTCCGCCACCTGCGTGCGTGCGGCCTAGTGACGGCGATGGGGCTGAGACGGGCGCTGGGCCTCGGGGCTCGGCTAGGCCGGGTCCTCCTGCGGGGATGGCTCGCGGGGCCTCCCCACCACACCGCCGCGTCCCCGCCCGCCTCCTGCTTTTCCGCCGCCCCGTCCGCGCGGCCCCCGGGGCTGCTCCTCCTGCGCCTGGCCGCGGCCCGGCTGGGCCTCCGCAGCGTCCCTCTCCGGCGCCTCCCGCCGGCCCCGCGGCGGCTGGGGCTGGGGCTGGGGCTGGGGCTGGCGCTGCTGGAGCTCGCGGCGGCCGAGGAGGAGAGGCGCGCCGCCGCGGCCTGCAGGGACATCCAGGTGCGGGTCGCGTTGCTGGGCGACGGGGTTGCCGGGGCAACGGGCCAGCTTCGCACCTGAAGGAAGTGGGTGGGGCCAGCCTTGCACCTGAAGGGGCGGGGCCACCCCTGCGCCATGTGGGGGGGGGGAGAAGGGGGTCCAGCCTCCCCTCAGTTTGGCGCACAAGAGGGGAGCCCCCCCCCAAAGCCCCCTCCCCTCCCCCGCTTCTCCCCACAGAGACTCCCTTGTTTCCACCTGGAAAAAAAACACCTCATTTTGGGGTTGTGTCGAATCCGAGGCCTCCTCTCCACCTGGTGCCTCTGTAAAATCCATGGCCGGCCTCTGTTGGAGAGGGGAAAAAAACTGCATTTTTTTCTCCTTCTACGGAATAGGCTGTTGATTTTAATAATATTTTTCCACCTGTTTGTGTAGAATCAAAGCCTGCTTTCACCTGTTGAACCCCCAAATAGATCCAGGGTTGAAAAAAGGGGGGTTGTATATGGTTTATAGATCTCTGACAGCAAACCCCATTATTCCTTAGTAGCCCTGATGATGTTCCCTAGTTGGGTCATGAAATGTCTGCAAGGAAACCACCAAGCTCAGAGAGCGCCCAGGAGCCCCCCCCTCCCCTCCTTAGACAGAGGTAGCTAAAGGTGGGGCAGGGGTGCGTGTGTGTCTCCACTCTAGGCCTCCATGGCATCAGAGGGAGGAGGAAGCCACGGCCAACTGATCTCTGGGGAGTGGATCCACCAAGGAATCCCTGCTTCCCCCCCCCTCTGGCCAGAAGCCATGGAGCCCAGCGTCCCATTTAGCACTCCTGCCATGGTTGCTCTTCTTTCCAGACAATCTTCCTCCCGAGGAACAAGCCCCCAAAGGAGACCCTGGGATTAGTAGCCCAGCGAGGCTTCAGACTGGAGGAGTATTTCATCGGCCAGTCGATCGGCAAAGGCTGCAGCGGGGCTGTGTATGAAGCGGCCGCTCCTGCCACCCCCACCGGGGACAGAGATCCGGTGCCCGAACGGGGGGATGGTGGTGGGGGTGCTTCGGACACCCAGGGTGTGGTCGAGGCCGAGGGCTGGAAGGAAGAGTTCCCACTGGCTATCAAAATGATGTGGAATATTTCGGTAAGGAACCGGCTTTGGTGCCTTTCCTGCCTTGAAAGTAAACACCTGCCCTTAGAGAAACAATTTGGTGTAATGGCATCAGGCTGGAAACCAGGATACGGGGAGTTCTAGTCCGGCCGTAGCTCTGAAAGGCAGCTGGGTGACTTTGGGCCACTGCCTGTCTCTCAGCCAGCCCACCTCGCAGGGCTGTTGTGGGAGAATAAAGGGATATACATACGTAAAAATCTCTAGTCAGTGTCTTTATTTGCTTCTGGCTTTTCCAGGCTGGTTCTTCGAGTGAAGGCATCCTGGCCACCATGTCTCAAGAACTGGTCCCAGCCAGCAGACGGGCTCTTTCTGGAGAATTTGGAGCAGTTGCCAGACCCAGGTAGGGCTGAACCAGGTGGAGGAGAGTTTACAAGGGAAGGAGAAGACTTGATAGTTTTGCAAGCCGGCCAGAGAAAAAGAGCCGCCTCTCACCTTGGCTGTGCTGTGACTGTCGTCTCTGGGCAGGAAGTGCCTCTTTGGGAAGAAGTGGCTGAAGCCTCACCCCAACATCATCCAGGTGATCCGGGCTTTCACCTCTCAGGTCCCGCTGCTGCCGGGCGCCACGGTGGACTATCCGGACGTCCTGCCTTCCACCCTGAACCCCTCCGGCCTTGGGCACAGCCGCACCCTCTTCCTGGTGATGAAGAAGTAAGCAGACGGATACCACAAAATGGGCGCCTTCCCTTTAAGGGGGCCTTTGCAGGAAAAGGTGCTGGCAGGTGGGAATGGGGATAGAGAGTCTCCCTGCAGACATGGAGGTCCAGGGGGCCAATGAGGGCAGGGGGCCTCGGAAAGGCAGCGGTGGGACAATCGGTGGGAGTTTGGGTGGATCTGGCACATGGGGGCTTTGCTAGTGCTTGCCTTGGGAGCCCTCCGGGTAGAAAAGCAGGAAGACAAAGGAAGAATAATACATTTACAGTAGGCAAATGAGGAGTTTGTCCTCAAGGATCAGCTCCACAGCTTTTTTTTGCGGGGGCAGGGCGGGGGGGGGGGGGGGAAGAGGCTACAAAAGGTTCAAGATGTCACCAGCATGAAGTTCAGCGCCCTGGAAATGGCTGTCAGGATTCTGGCAGTTCCCCCCATTTAAAACATGAGACTCGAGCCAAACTTCCAAAACTTAAAAAGGATTTATTGGGAGTTAAACTGTCCGGCATCCCTTGTCACCCTTCACTCTGGTTCCGCACCCCACCCCCTGGGTGTATCATAAGTCATATTCTCCAATGGGACACGTCCGTAGCCCGGAGTCATCAATCATGCTCTCCAGTTAGAATTTTGTGTGGCAGAAACTTCAGTCACCTAATTATTATCTTTGAAAACATTTATGGAATGCACTTTCGGTTTGCAAGCTGCCGCACTGCTCCCCGCTTCCTTTTCTGTTGGCAACTCTAAAAAGGCCAGAGAACTATTTGATGGGTTGACATGGGCTCCCATGGTCATGAAAAGAGGCCCCAGTTGCCCGCTTTCCGAAGGGGCCCCACAGACGGGGCCAGCCAGAGACCTGCAGGGAGCTGATATTTGGGCGGGGTGGGGCTTAACCCCCCTCCCCCTCGGAGTCCCTGAGCCGAGTCCCTCTGGAGGGTTTGGCCTCCTGGAGAAGTCAGGAGCGGGAGGTCGGAATCGGGGGCCACGGGTCTCCCAGCCTTGTAATGCCGAAATGCCTCCCTGGGGGTCGGGAGCGGGATTGGCCCAGCGTTTGGCGCTGCTTTCTCAGCCTGTCCAGCTGAGGCTGCTTCCCCCCCCCCCCCCCCCCCGGCCCCCCCCCCCCCCCCCCCCCTTGCTCTGCTCAGCTACCCATGCACGCTGCGGCAGTTCCTCCTTGCCGAGGGGCGCCCGGAACCCCCTGTGGGGGCCGTGATGATCCTGCAGTTGCTGGAAGGGGTGGATCACCTCGTCCGACAGGGAGTCGCCCACCGAGACCTGAAGTCAGACAACATCCTGGTGGACTTGGACTCGGGTGCGTTGCGCTCTTTGATTGATGGACATGGGAGGCTTTGGCTCCCTGCTTAACGCCCAAGGGCGTTAAAGCTGTGCCTGCTGCGGGGCCCCTTTTCGGGGGGGGGGGGGGGGAAGGGCGGCGGAGGGGGTTTGCCGGGGCGGGGGGCCGGGGGGGGGGGGGGAGAGAGAGAGAGAGACCCCCTCTGGCTACCCTTTCCCCCCTTTCTTCCTTCTAAGTCAAGGGGCTATAAAAATAGGGAAGACGGCAGAGAAAACAGTCGCTTTAAGGAATGAAAAGGGAGACAAAGCCCAACCAAGATGGATGTGTTTATAAACAAACGTGCAGAAGCCATTTTAATTCAAAGTCTAGGAATGTGAAAGCTTTGTATTATATATTCCTACCCCGAGACGCATTGTGTGCAGACGGAGGTAAAAAGCTCAACAGGCTGCTAAAAGAAACAGTCCTTCATTGGAAAATTCGGTAGGGATCTGTATCCAAAACGAAGGTTCGGTCCTGCAGTTCCTGGTTTGATTCTCTGAGAGCCCCGGAGGTTGTGGTGGGGCCTCTGCCTCTGGTCCCTCTCGCTTAGGGGCTTCCCACTCCACCCACGGCCCCCCAAAGCAAAGGCAGAGGGAGGCGGCTGCCCGTCCTTGAGACCAGGGGGTCTCCGATCCCTTGGCGACTTTAAGACTGGCGGACTTCAACTCATGGCCTTAGGGGAAGGGAGAGGACGCTGGCCCCCTCTCGGCTCTCCTCCCAGATCTGCTGCCTCCCGCATCAGGGGGGCTTCTGGCCAGGAAATGGCAACCCTGCAGCGCGCCTCTCACACACAGCCACAGGCCACAAAGGGGACGCTGACCCAGGGGCCTCCCCTGGAAGGCTCTGCCCTATAGGGCAGCCTGAGTCCGGCCCAGGGAGGGAGGGCCTCCGGGGTCTCCGCCTGAAACGTCCTGTCCTCCCCCTAAATCTGAACCTGGGTCTGCAGGGCTGCTCACCCCCTGCCCAAAGAGAACGGCAAGCGGATCCCATGCTCCACTTCCCCCCCCGGACCCTTATAACAGCCCCCCCCCCCCCGTTCCCCAGGTGGCCACGGCCATGCCAGGCCCAGGCGTGGTGATCGATTACAGCAAGGCGGACGTCTGGGCCGTGGGCGCCCTGGCCTATGAGATTCTGGGGCCCGGGAACCCCTTCTACGGCCAAGGGGGCCCCGCCCTGGACAGCCGCACCTACCAGGAGGAAGAGCTGCCCCCCTTGCCCACCCCGGCAGCCCCGGAAGTGAAGGAGCTGGTGGCCAGGCTCCTGCAGCGGAGCCCAGCCAAGGTGAGAAGGGCCAGGGGCATGTGGCGGGGCTCTTGGGTCCCTGAGGGTCATGGGGGGGAGTTCCCCAGGGGGGTTTCTGAGGGCCTGGGGAGGGGGCAGCTCAGCTGGCCCCAGAGACTCGGCTGGTCCCGGGGCTGACCTCTCCGCCGCTGCTTCCTTTCCAGAGGCCCCCGGCCCGAGTGGCAGCCAACGTCCTCCACCTGAGCCTCTGGGGTGAGGCGGCTCTCGGCCAGGCGGGTGGCCTCCCTCTCCCGCAGCTGCTGCCCTGGCTGCTTCAAGAGTCGGCCGCGGCTTTAATGACCGACCGGCTGGGCGGCACCCGAAGGGTGGAGTCCCGCTTGAAGAGGGGCTTCCTGGCCAGCCTGGACTACGAGGACCTCTGTGAGGCGGTGGCCCTGCTCCGCTCCTGGAGGGGGGCGGCCAGGCCTGCCCCCCAGTAGAAGCGCCCCTCCCCTCGTGGACCCCGTGGGGGAGGCGGCTTCCGGGGGGGTGGGGCTGCAGTGCAAAGGGGGGAGTGGAGGTTCAGCAAGGGGAACGGGCGTTTTCTCCCCAGGACTTCATCAAGCTGGTGACAGGGCATGATGAGGCTGTGGCCCCCTTGGAGGGGAACCATGGCTTGGGGAGACCCTGGCTGCTGACTCCCCCCACCCCCCACCCCGGCTTCCCTGGTTTTCCCACTTGGTACGAGTCGCCTTTGAGAAGGGTGGTTTTGAGTTGCAGGTCATTTAAGCTCCTTTGCTTGCCTGTTTGGCCACGTAGGGAAGTTGCCCAACCAAAGGAAAACTGCCTAGAACCCCTTCTTTCATTCCGTGACCTAGAACCCCAAAGGGGAGGATGAGTAGAAAACAGGTGAGAGAAATACCGCCCTCACCCGCTTCGTTGTGGTTCTCTTTGGGTTGTTTTTTCCGGTCAAAAGGGGCCTCCTCAGCGGCGTAGTTTCTTAGAGGTGGAACTGCCTGTTGGGTCGTGCAAATAAATCACATTCACGTTGGCAGAGTTGTGTGTATGGTGCTTGGTGTTCTTCCAGGGGTTTAAAGGCAGGTTTATTTATTTTTATTTATTCTGTTGGAAATCCTTCCTTTCACATGGGGCCTCAGCGGGGTGGGGTGTCATGGTGCGTTTACAGCAGTCCAGGTGCATCATGTCGCTTTAAACTTTTTTTTTAGGAGGAAAGGAAGGCCGGGCTTGACGGGCGTCCAGTGGGCTCCTGGGCAGGCCCCGTGGGTGGCTCTGTTTCCCTGTCCTGTGGCTGGACAGAGGCCCGGCTCCTGCCCTTTGGCTGCTGCAGGAGGGAGGGACGGGCTGGCACTTCTCCCTGGCAGCTGCCAAGGTTCTTCTTTGCCGCGGCTGCTGAGTGGCAACATGGCCGGTCTCTTGGCCTGGGGGCGCCAAGGCTTTTTGTGGGCCTCACTCCTGGGCGTCCCACGCAGGGCACCGGCTCTGCGCTCCTGCTGCAGCCAGGCTCACCTGCCCCCCCCCCCCCCCGGGGCATCGGCCGCAGCACCCCCGGGGGCTCTTTCCTGCACGGCCCGCCGACCAGGAGGCTGCCCTGCCCTCGCCGGGCGTCAGGCTCTGCCTTCAGCCTGCCCCCCAGTGCCAAGGAGTAGCCAGCCCAGTGGGCACCTGCTCCATGTTCAAGCTGCCCCTGTGGGATTCAGCCAAAGGGCTGGATGTGGCCTTTGTGGGCGTCCCTCTGGACATCGGCACCACCCACCGCCCCGGGGCCAGGTAAGGGGGCTGTTCTTTGGGTAGGGGATGAGTCGGGGTGGGTGGGGGTGGAGCTGCCTGCACCAAGCTAACATTTGTTGGGTTTCAATCACCAGCCTTGCTTACTGGATTGTTTTGCTGGTCCTTCTCTTCCCTAAACTAGCCAGGCCCAGTTCCTGCAACCCTTCTTCATATGTTTTAGTCTCCAGTCCCCTAATCATCCTGGTTGCTCTTCTCTGCACTCTGGAAAGTCTCAACCTCTTTTTTTTAGTGTGGTGACCAAAACTGGATGCAGTATTCTAGGTGTGGCCTTACTAAGGCTTTATAGAGTGGTATTAGTACCTCCCTTGACCTCGATTGTATCCCTCTGTTAATACAATTTAGGATTGCATTGGCTTTTTCGGCTGCTGCTGCAAACGGCTGGCTCCTATTTAGCTGGTTGTCCACTAAGACTCCAAGATCCCTCTCCCCGTTCCTGCTATTGAGCCTGGTTTCACCCAGTCTATGTGTGTCCTTTAGGAACACATATGATAATGTGTGATAATATACTGAGCCGTATATTATGAACCTGGGGCTAAACCTTCTTTACTTGCGTTAGATACATAATATAGATAGGTAAAAGATAAATAGATAACCGCAGGTATACATAATGAAGATGATAGGTGATAGGTGAGAAAGGTCTGCCCTCCAGTGGCTAATTTTAGTAATGCAGCATATATATTATGCACACTGAAAAACCTGCCCTCCAGTGATGAATTTGGGAACTGCAGATTCAAACATTGGGAATGGTCTGCCATCCCGAGGTATGTATAATACACAAACACCTTTAAAAATCTGGCATCTAAATGGTTAATTTAGGAACTGCTTATGTATGTAACTAACCTGTTACTTGCTTATTGGCAATATGCCCACGAGATGGCGGGCTATTATTGTCAATGGAATTTCCCATAGACTTTGAAAACCGCAGTTTCCATGTAATTTGAGGTCTATTTTCACCCCTTTTTCACCCCTAAATTGATGGGGGACTCAGAGTCAGACCCCACGTCGGATTTCGCCACATCTGTAACCTGATTATTTTTATTTATATTAACTTTCGCGATTCCTTCCCTGCGCCTGCCATAACGAAAAATATCCACCAGGTGGCAGGTTGTTATTGCTGTGCAATTTCTTTTCTTCACCTGCAATGACGCAAAATGGCCACGAGATGGCGGGCTATTATTAAGTTCTTT